CCATTTTGGGCTCTGCTTAAAATGGTTTATGTGCAAATCTCATTTTATGTGTGAATCAGTTTTCTATTTGGAAATCAATGTAGACTGACCCCATAAATGATCTGCTTTGTCACTGGAAAGTCAGTTTAGGTTCCTTAACATGCAAGAAATAGGTTTTATTGCTCGATGCTTTACGTCTGCCGGCCAACCATAGTCCATGCATGCAGAAAATTCACATTCTGTGCACTGTATACTGTACATACTAAATACTGTAAAAAGTAGTATGCCAGGACGCTATTCAAAACACTCCCCTTTACTTAGCTAAATGTATTATTTGGACAGATTTCCTGATGGTGTGTCGTGTGGATCTGTTTCAGAAACTGATTTCACTGCAGTTCATAAAGTCATCTGAGGTGTTTGTAGAATAAGTCAGCTGGCGTTTCATAATAATGTTTTGTACTATTCGTATGTGTGAGAGTGTGTCTGTAAGAAAGAGATAAAGAAGACACAATCCTTTCTGATTATAAGTTCACTGAGGGGAACAACGAGAGAGAGAGAGAGATAAAGCGACATGCAAAAGTATGGGCACCTCAAGATGTCTGAATGTAGATAAATATATAAACGCAAGTGACGTTTATTTTAAAGAAAGATAGCTTAAGAAAAAAACATTTGGGAGGAACATGTCTGTATGGGTTAAAACAACAGGTGTCGGTGTTTATGTGTTTGTTTGTGGTTAGTGGAACATTTTCATAGTTAATGTTGTGAACTACAACCTCTGCTCGGACACCTGTTTGTGAACATACACACTAAAAATCTCCAGTTCCAAAATCTTTTCTATTTCTAAGACTGTTTATGGCAGAATGGCATTATTGATGTGGAACAGAAGCTCTTTCTGATGGTTTGGTTCTGCTTTCCTTTCTCGAAGTTGTGCTGGAATAGCAGATCAAAGAGCCTACACACACACACACACACACACTGACTGCATGAGTGCATCATGCTTTGTCCCTTCAGTTCACAGGGGAGATCAATCTTAAACGTTTATCACTCTTTACTCCCGTCCCCTCGACTATCCATCCATCCCTCCGTCTCCTCCCTACACCTCCATCAGCAGATGTGTCCATTCATCATATTTTGTCAGGTTCATTCCTGTCTCTCTCTCTCTCTGTCTTGTTCTGTCTGTCTCTCTGTGTGTCTCACATCTGCAGCCATCAGAATTGATCTACTGAATGCATGTTATTATACCCGAAACCCTACGCAATGATTTCCGTTATGCTACCGCGGAGAGCTTCTAACCGCAAGCTTGATTTCATGTGTCATTGTCTTCTGAAACACAATCCATATTTAATGTAAACTTGTGAATTCAAGAGCAAAGCACTAAAAAACGAGGCCCTGTTTGGTATTTAGATGTGTTTTGGTTCACGGATCACAAGTAGACGAGGAAGACACATTCCCGTTTACACCTGGTGTTTAAATCCGTCTCTTTTGTCTAGGTATCCACGATATAGGATTTTGGCCGATATTCGATATGCTGATATTTTCAAACTAATTTTGCCCGATGCCGATACCGATATATTTGTATTTTTTTTAAGTGCAAAAAAAGCTTATTAAAGCTTCTATTAAAGTTCTCAGTCAAGAGCAGTGAGTGATTTCCTCTTTGTGTTTTGTTGTTTTATTAACATTAACAGGATAGTTCTCCCCAAAATTTAAATTGTCATCATTTACTCTCTCAAGTTTCTTTCTTCTGTTGAAAATAAAAGTTATTTGGAAGAATCTGGCTAACCAAACAGTTTCTGTACTCCAGTGACTTCCATAGTATATTTAAGCACAAGAAAGAAATGAATCCAGGTTTGGAACAACATTAGAGTGAGTAAATAATGACAGAATTTTTATTTCTGGGTGCAGTATCTCTTTAAGGACAAGCGGCAGCATATTATTACTGTCTCTTTAAGAACTGCACGCGACGCGTCTAATATACACACACAAAGTTTGCTTTCACTTTAGACATAACCAACTTTGTTTATGTAAACCTTGTGTGTATTTGACAGTATCAGCGCAATAAGACTCGAAAGATTAGTCCAGTATGCAGGCGCTGTGACAGGGTTTAGTTCCTGTGAGCGTCGGGTGTAACGCGCTCAGAAAAGCGCATGTTAGAACAGCGCATCAGCACGTGAATGACATGTTTAACTAGCAAGACTTTGACGCACATGCAAATAATGAACTTTTGTGATTTGCGGTTGTCCCGTGAGTGTAACTCTACCTCTGCGTTTACATGTGATGTGATGTGAATGTGCGTCGCGTTGTACAGTATGTTGAGATGAAGGCGCCAGAATTGAACTGATAGAATGCACGATACTATGATTTTTCTTCAAAAGCAGATCGTGGAGACATTTTAATCGTCCACGATCAAAAACCGTGAGACGCAAACCCCTAGTTGGAAGTTTAAGTTGGTGGCGCTCATGCTTCGTTCGCGGTCGTCACGTGCGCATAGGAAACACGCCACCCTATCGGCAAGGCTCATCGGCAGTCATATTCATATCTGCCGATGCCGATGATGGTCATTTTAAGCTTTTATCGGCCGATACCGATGTTGTCCCGATATCATCGTGCATCCCTACTTTTGTCCACTTTCAACCACTTCTGTCCTGATATCTTCGAGGGGAGGGACTATGTGGGTAAATGTATGTTTTTTCCCCCCAGATGTTTCGATCTAATGGATGAAATAAGCTCGCGCAATTTACATATGAGCGTGACCTGAGACGACGGAAAAACATACTTTAATTTCTGTTCTGAAAGCCACAAGACACAAGAAATCAGGAATGGTTAGAGAACATTCAAACTAGGGCTGTCTCGATGTTAGATTTTACACACCACGGTTATTGTGGCCAAAATAATTCACGATATCGGTATATCGCGATATCTATAGAAACCTTGGGGGAAAAAATGTCAAATCAGTCAATTTAATTTTTACTTTGTTTATTTAATTTTTCTTTTTTTGCATTTTTACTTCTTGCGTTCTTATATTTGAATGCACATTTTTGTGAAGTAAGACAAGCATGTGAAGTATATCTGGTTTCAAACTGGAGCGAAACACTGTCTGAATGTTTCCTGAAGAACTGAAAAGCTCTTAAACCTATTGTTGCGCCGGTGCAAGTCATGCAGATTTGAACAAAACAAATCAAGTGCAATTACAAAAATAAGACGAGTAAAGAAAACGGGGTAGCCTACTTAATAATCACCCTTTATTTAAACATATGAAAACAAAAACCCGCTGTTAACAGGTTAATGTCACATTTCCCATTCCATGACTAGTAAAATAATCGCAATTTACTCTCTGTAAAATAACGTAATCCGCAGGGTGATGGACACGAAGATGGATTGGGTTTAAGGGGGTCGCACACCGGACGAGAAGCGCAGCTCCGCGCCGCGTCGCATGTAGCACACCTGACGCGCACTTTCTCAGTTCATGGCCAGCAATATTGTTATGTTTAAGGACATTATGAAATTAAGATCATGTCTGTACCATGTTATGATTGTACTGTACAATTAAATACAATCGTTGCTAAGTCTGCAGTCATTACCTCAGTCAGAGCGCATCCGTTAACTGAATGATTTGAGAATCTCACCTGAAAATCCGAGCCATTGCTGGGCGTTGCGGACAGACGCCGAATGGTGCCGGCGGTGGTGTGTGTAAACTCCTAGAAAATAATGTGTTCGAATTTGAAAGAATTCTCTGCGCTTCTCGTCCGGTGTGCGACACCCTTTAAAGTGCTGTTTTCTTTGAAGCCGAAGAACTCCCATACCAGGGTGGCTGCGCGGGCGCGCGTTGCGTCTTCTTCTCATTTGATAGATGTCAGCAGCGGGTGCAATACTGCCACCTCAACTGGCGCTGGAGTATACGTGTCATGTTATCATAAAAGTCCTACTCATTATAAACATCGTGGTTATCGCCAATACCGGTATATTGCCACACTCTAAATTAACACGATGTCGATATTTCAAGCTTTGAATATCACGATTATCGTCAATACCGGTATATTGCGACACCCCTAATTCAAACCAAACTTGGGTCTTCAGTCGACAAAATTTAAATCCTCTCTGGCTAGCGCGCTAATCTAAGGCTTTCAAAGCTAGCTTGTATTGCAAGCCTCTGAAATCGCCTACCCTACCTTTAATGAAGGGCTATTGACTATTTTAAGCCAATGCTGGCTCTATGTAGATATTGTAGTAGTGATTTAATTTGACAGCAGTGACTAACAATGTGAAGCTTCGAGTAAACACTATTGTTACCTGGCTGTCAGTGAACGCTGCTCCGCTCGCTCTGCATGATGGCTGTGAGGAGGGATAGAGAAGAGATGCTCGAGCGCTCTCACAGAATTAGATCTTAATGCAGTTTTTGGGCACACACTTAATGGAGAATTGATGCCATGGGCCAAATTTAAATAATAACTCAAATATAAAATTAGAGAGAGCAAAAGGGCAGGTGCTTGAGCAGCACGTGTCGCATATTGAAATCTGCGTCATACTTGCATATAGTATGTTTTTGGGCTCAACACATCTCACACTTTATATCTGAAGAAAACGTTAGTGGCATATCTCTCCCTCTTTTCAATTCAATTCACATTTATTTGTATAGCGCTTTTCACAATACACATCATTTCAAAGCAGCTTAACAGAAAATGCACGAGTCCACATTACAATATAGAGTGATGTGTTATCAGAGGTAACTGTCTAAGTTATGTATTTCAGACATATACCAAATCACAGTTAGCGAAAAATGTATTAATTTAATGAGCTCATTGAAGTAATGAATACTTGTTTGTTAACAAATGATTATGACATCTTCCCCTCTCCAAATGTATTTTTCTCCCCTATCTGATTTCGCTCTACTGTCACATTTGCTCCCATCATGAAAGCGATTGATCCTTCTTTAGGACTTCAGAGACTTCATAAACTCTGGTCAGTGTAAATGTCAGATTGTTCCCCGTCCTCTCAGATATTAACTGTGTGTGTGTGTTTCACAGGCTCCTTCTCTTTGAGCGTGCTGCTGGTGTCGTTGGCGGTGACCGTGTGTGGCGTTTGGCTGGTTGCTCTCTGCGGCGTCTGTAAATGGTGTCAACGCAAGCTGGTGAGTTACACACACACACTACACTTTAAGATGATCCTGCACATGCATTTTGTTTGCACAACTGGGCGGCACTTTTGTAAGGCGCTGACCAAACGTTTAGATGTACATTTGTGTAGCTTGAATGTTTCTGGCCTTTCTATTACAGGACAGATTTAATATTTTACTGCTTAAAAGTTGCTCTTTCATAGCCTGGGAGAATTAAAGAGGACCTATTATGCTTTTTTTACATTTTCAATTTCTTTACTGTGTGATTGTTGCTGAATGAGCATGAAAAAGGTTTCCAAAGTCCAAAGTTATTCTCTATATCAGTGTCAGTGTTTCTGAACTCCCTGAAACGCCTCCATTGTAGTCTTGAGTTTTCTTCCGGGAACGAAACACGTCACAATATTCCTCATTTAAATAATTCATACGCAGAATAAAGGGGCGGGGCCTGGTTGAGTTAGTTAGTAGTGTGTTGAAACTGGAGGTTATGTAAAGGGGCGTGACATTTCCCAAACATGCTCTAAGCGGTTGACCAATCACAACACACTGCTCCAGCTGACCAATCAGAGCACAGTGTGCTTTTCAGAAGGAGGGGCTTCATAGAGACAGGAACTAAACGGAGAGTTACTGACAGACTGGGAAAAGAGGAGCTGCAACAATGGAGAATATGTGAAAAATAATGAACATTCAAGCATGAAAACCTATTCTAGTAGAGCCATAGGTCCTCTATAATGGAGGTCTCACGACACTTAGTATCAACTTTCTCTTAGAAGTTTCTCCTCAAATCAAATAAAAATGAGTAAATAGAAGACCAACAGTAATAGTATTGAGCTATAAAATGAATGTGGATAAAATCTCAGATAATTTGGTCTTTGATGAGAAATATTTTAGTTCATTTTGAGATATCTTTTGATTGCACGTATCTTGGCAAATCTAAGTAGAGTTTGAGACATTGTTAAGCTCTCTTGTGAGATGTGAGATCACTGTGTTTCCTCTGAAACATCTGAGAAGCAAGAGACTCCATTGCTTTCCGTTGGGTCTCATTGCTGTCTAGGAGAAAGGATAAAATTCATGAAATAATGAGGAGGTGGTCTCCATACCGATTAATCGATGTAAAGGCTAATTGATTAGGATGGTCACGCGGCTCATTAGACAGATGGAGTGGAACCGCGCCGCACGGCTCTTAACTGACCCGTTTATTTGGCTCGTATTCGCGAGTCAAAGCTAATTGATTCCCGATATGTGGCATACAGTACATGTACGATGGTGTGTGAACCCCAGAGAGTGAGACAGCCTTATAAAGAATGCATGTGCTTGTGTTTGCATGCATGTGTTGTGATCTGGCAACCACCTGAACACACTAGCATTCTGCCAGCGAGTTTTGTGCAGGCAAGCACCATTCACCTTTTCTAAATGTATTTCAGTTTATTGTATTTTGATGGGTTGGTCATGGTCACATTTGTTAGTGTTTAATATCACACATACTGTAAGCAGCCAAAAGGGTTTTCTCCAGGCCGAAAACAACGACTTATAATTTCATCCTCACAGCCACTGATCAGACTTTTAAATGGCAGCGCTGATTGGAACAACCTTGAGTGACCTGAATGGTGTTTCAAAGTAAAAGAACCATTTCCCTTTTATTCCACCAGAAGCGAAATACTTAATTGAACATGCCGCGAGATCTCACACGCACACAGAATCGTAAATATCCTCAAACACAACTGTGTGTAATCTTTGACCTCATTACTCCCAGAAGACTGACTACAGGCCATCACAGCTGGTGTCACGAGGTCATTGAGCTCATATATGCCCTCTGAACCTGTGCGTTTTGGTTAGTGAGTATGTGCACATGCATACTAACAAACATGCATTGCTGTTCACCAGTATATGATATGTTTTGCACACTTGGACCAGCTTGGGATGCTGGTTCCTGGTGGACCAGCATATGTTGTCTTTTGGGGGCATGTGTGATCCCAGCAAAACTCATGTATGTGTTACATATCACGCTTCTTAGTGTGTGTTCATAGTCAAAGACCAAGACAACTTTCCAAATTAATTTTAATAAATGATTTAATAAAGAAAAATGCATATTGCTGGTTACATGTTTACACAGTAAAATCCAAACACTGCTCAGTTTTCATATGGTCCCAGTCTATAGATTAAAGAGTAAAAGTAACACTGAATCAATGTTGCAGTGATGATTGAGCATTAGTGATAAACACCTGCGGTTAACAAGCAGAATCACTGAAGATAAGAGGAACAACAAGAGCAGAAAAAAAGAGAAGCGATGAGCAGAAACACAAAAACTACAACTTACTTACAGCCACAGCCTTAGATGAAATCAACTGCCAATACAATCAATATCTCACCAGAGGATGATTAAACAACTTCAAAAACAGCATTACCATAGTCTGTTTGAAGTCACCATTATGATGATTAGTGTTCGCTTTAGTTGGGCACTTGATCATTGATTTTGGTTGAATTATTTGCCTTTCAGCAATTGTTGAAAGTGCATGCTATCATTATTTTCAACAATATTTTATGCTCATGACTGCAATGACATACCCTACGATGTGCACTTTTTGGAATCAGTGACTGACAGTTGGAATTTGACATATATGTGACTTTCCAAATAGGCATGAAAGCCTTTAAAAACAGTAACTTTCAGCTTTGATCTTTCATTATTAAGTCGTTATTAACTGTCCCATTGAAAGCTCATAACCCCTGCTATTAAACAAACAAACTGCTTATGCTTATGCTTTTATTAGACCAGCATTATACCAGCATAAACCAGCTTGGATGTGTGTGTGTGTGTGTGTGTGTTTGCTTGAGGGAGAGAATTTATATGTGTGTTTACTTTGCTATACTTTGGAGACCTTCTTTTGGGGATGCTCTCAAAGGTAAAAAAAATAGTCATAAATGAAGTAAATGATGTTTATTTATTTGCTTATATGCTTAGTTTGTAGTTATGAAGTCGACAGCAGACCTTATGCGCCAGAGAAACAAGCGATATTTAATCATTTTGTGTTTGAACTTAGGTTTTTGCGGTAGCTCTGTATATTTTATATTCGTTTTAGTGGATTTACTTATTAATGAAAAGTTATCATGAGCATTGTAAGTAGACCGGGAAGATTTTAAACGAGCAGTTCATTCATAAATTCGTATTCATGCTGTGATACAAACTGGAAGACAGAAACAAACGAGTGCAGCGCTGGAAAGGGGCGGGGCTACAGAAGCTCTATAATATGTTGTCTCCCTGTTGAAATAAACATCTTAAAGGTGGTCTTAGCTGGTTTAAGTGGTCTTAGCTGGTTTAAGGTGGTCTCCCAGCTTGGCCATGCTTGTGTTCAGTTGGTCTAGCTTTGACAATCTCTCTAAAACCAGCGAACAGACCAGATTTATGTTAAAATTGCTGTCTAAGGCCAGCAAACCATCTTAGACTGTTTTTTTCTATATATATATATATTATGGCGATTGCTAAGTAAATGCGTGTGTTTTGTGCTCAGGACTCTTTGTGACTTTGTGTTCATTAGCTTTAAAAGGAAATGACCTCAGTTCAGCAGGAAGCTGCTCCTGTCTCTGCCTCATTACACTCAGACGGGTCACCTTTGCAAGTAACATTAAGTTAAATTGAGCGGCTAGTTGGATGTGTGTTAAAAGAAGAGTAACAGTATGTTACCTGTGTGTGTGTGTGTGTGTGTCTGTGTTTGTGTCTGTGTCTGTGTGTCTGTGTCTACATATACATACACAGACACTATATACACACATATATTATATATTTACAAACTTTTATGTTTCACAATATTAATATAAACTAGTGCTGTCAAATCAATTAATCGCATCTAACATAAAAGTTTGTAAATATACACTCACCTAAAGGATTATTAGGAACACCATACTAACACTGTGTTTGACCCCCTTTCGCCTTCAGAACTGCCTTAATTCTACGTGGCATTGATTCAACAAGGTGCTGAAAGCATTCTTTAGAAATGTTGGCCCATATTGATAGGATAGCATCTTGCAGCTGATGGAGATTTGTGGGATGCACATCCAGGGCACGAAGCTCCCGTTCCACCACATCCCAAAGATGCTCTATTGGGTTGAGATCTGGTGACTGTGGGGGCCATTTTAGTACAGCGAACTCAATGTCATGTTCAAGAAACCAATTTGAAATGATTCGAGCTTTGTGACATGGTGCATTATCCTGCTGGAAGTAGCCATCAGAGGATGGGTACATGGTGGCCATAAAGGGATGGACATGGTCAGAAACAGTGCTCAGGTAGGCCGTGGCATTTAAACGATGCCCAATTGGCACTAAGGGGCCTAAAGTGTGCCAAGAAAACATCCCCCACACCATTACACCACCACCACCAGCCTGCACAGTGGTAACAAGGCATGATGGATCCATGTTCTCATTCTGTTTACGCCAAATTCTGACTCTACCATCTGAATGTCTCAACAGAAATCGAGACTCATCAGACCAGGCAACATTTTTCCAGTCTTCAACTGTCCAATTTTGGTGAGCTCTTGCAAATTGTAGCCTCTTTTTCCTATTTGTAGTGGAGATGAGTGGTACCCGGTGGGGTCTTCTGCTGTTGTAGCCCATCTGCCTCAAGGTTGTGCGTGTTGTGGCTTCACAAATGCTTTGCTGCATACCTCGGTTGTAACAAGTGGTTATTTCAGTCAAAGTTGCTCTTCTATCAGCTTGAATCAGTCGGCCCATTCTCCTCTGACCTCTGGCATCAACAAGGCATTTTCGCCCACAGGACTGCCGCATACTGGATGTTTTTCCCTTTTCACACCATTCTTTGTAAACCCTAGAAATGGTTGTGTGTGAAAATCCCAGTAACTGAGCAGATTGTGAAATACTCAGACCGGCCCGTCTGGCACCAACAACCATGCCACGCTCAAAATTGCTTAAATCACCTTTCTTTCCCATTCTGACATTCAGTTTGGAGTTCAGGAGATTGTCTTGACCAGGACCACACCCCTAAATGCATTGAAGCAACTGCCATGTG